CCCCCCCCTTTTTGGAGATTTTTAGGCTTTCATTTATTTCTTTAAAAAAACCCAAACAACTAAACACAATTTGTTTCCTCAGTTGGTCAGAACATTTCACATGGAATTTGTCCTTGGCATTGGCACTGCTCTGGAGAAAAGTATCAGTGATTTGAAATGTGGTGTAGTTTTTTAACTTGATGTGACTACTTCACTGGAGCCACAAATAGTTCATTTAACACTGATGAAGAAAAAAATCCCTATAGTTTAAAGGATGACCCCATTTTAGCCAGTTTCTACTGCTGCTACCACAGACGTAAAATAATGACACAAAAGTGAAGTTTGAGGCCTTTTTGTCTCAAAGTTACTTTTTAATTTCCGATAAATACACAAGAGTATATATTATTTCTGAAAATAGGTGTATTTTGAAGTTCCCCATTATATGGGACTTAGTTTGTAAACTAGAAATGTGAAGTTACATATGTCTGAGAGAAGCCTTATACTGAGAAGTATTCTTTACATTTTACCTTTTTGTATAAGGTGAAATTTAGATTATACATGGGTTGCATACCTGTGACACTCTAGCAGTTGTTCCAGAAATAAAACTATGTAAAACATTAAAAGTTAAGAGCTTTTGGAAGTGTCAGACTTCACATATTACTTCTCTTTATCCTGCAGTCACATACATTATTTTTTTCCTAGTATGGATCCTAAGAGTTGTCCACTGAACAGTATGCAATAAATCATCAACATGTTTTTCAAGTTAAGTGAATTGACATATATTTTCCACTTGCCTCTGCCAACATATTTTTAAATGTGATGGAATTATTCCCATATAAAAATCATTTTTTATTATATCACTCCACTCCTGAATGGGCTTCAACCCATATCTCTTTCCTATCTGCAAAACCACTGCTGTCCATTCAGTTTGCTATATTGCTGAAGTGCTCAGAGAGCTGTTTGAGATCTTAGATATAGGGACGATGGTTTGTGTTTCTAGGATGAATTTCAAAGGGACAATCGTGTGCAGTTACTAGCTATAGATGATTGACATAAATGTTTACCCCGTATGAAGTATTTTACAGTTTTACTTGCAGATGTGTATTTATCTTGAGTTATACTTGACATAGAGTTTCTTTCAATTTTTTTTAATACTATGTGTGTATTTTGGAAACAGTTTTAGATGTTAAAATTTTTGAACGGTTACAAATATTTCTTGTAATACTGAATTGTTCTCTTATCTGGAAATTCTTTGCAGTAACTTTTTTGTATATATTTGAGGGCCTTTTTAAAAAGTTTGGGGGTTTGGGAAAAGTTTTTACAATTTGAAAGCTTTCAGAAGGGCCTTCCTCTCAACTAGGATACTAACAGAGGTAAGAGTTTTCTTAAGTATTTTACAGAACTAAGGATGTATCCTCAAGAAAATATTTATGGAAGTAATTTACTTTTTTTTTTTTACAATGCTTTTGTCTGTATAAAGTATGCAACAGAACTACATTAAGAAGGAAATATTGTCTACATAAAATATTTTATGAAAGTTGGTACATAATTCTGACAAAAAACCTTGCAATTCTTTAAGCCATATTGTTTTTCTTATCCTTGGATGAAAATATCAGTATTAAGTAACCAATATATTATTCAAGTGCTTGGACTTATATGAAATTGCTTATACAGTTTATTTATGTGTATTTGAGGAAGGATTGCTAGAAAAAGCTATCACTAGACATATAGCAAGTGAGGAGCAAAATAACAGTATATTGTCACTTTATGGCCTTGTGAGAGACACAGAAGATGCTGAAAGCACCATAAAGACTCGGCTTTCAGAAACTGCGAAGCACAAGCGTTGGGTTTCAAATGTTGGTTCTTTCCCATAACCAGAGGGGAAGAGAGTTGGTTGGGACACTGTTTGACAACTTGACTTTCACAACTCTGCAGACTGTGAGCTCAGCTATGCAGTATCGGCTACAGCAATAATATCAATCAAAGGATGTAAGAGAAAAGGATTGAAGTAGATTATTGTAGGGGTTTATGTTTATTTTAATTAGAACTCATAGCAATATAGAATATGCATGTGCACGTATTTGAAGCATTTTTACACTTTACAATTCATGTAGTTTGATTATATTATGGAGGACTGGGTTTTTAGTTTGATATTTTACCATGCTAAAATGGGAGGTCTACCCAACCCTGTACTGGATTCTTGATTCCTTTAAAAGGTTATTTAGTACAGCACCCACTGTGTTGTGTACTAGTGCTAAAACTAACACTGTATCTTATGAGTTTCTTCAGCTT